TTGCGGCTCACGTGCCCACTCATCCGAATCTAAAAAAGCACGTTCTCCCTGGGAGAATGAATTTATTGGCAACAGACAGAGTAGGGATTCCCATGGGCTAGGCCAAGAACGTAGAGGTTGGGGAATCGCTCATATAGAGCGGATGACCAACCTTCCCGCCCTTAGCTCTCTGACTATTCGCAGCCGCACCGCTCCCTTCTTGAGTCTCGTCGCGAGAGCTTCTTCTGCGGCACCGCCTGCAGGGGTCGATACCATCGATATTCAATCCACCGGTTCGTTCCGTAGTAGGATTTCCCGTAAGACCAGGAAGAAAGGCGCGTAATCATCTCTAATGATGCTCGACATCAATTTTTTATCGATTCATTGAAATTTTACGGCGCGGCGGTTTCGGAGTTCTCAGTGAGCGTCGATCTTCATCGAGGGCGCAGGAACCTCAGGATTCTCTTTCAATGAGTACCTGACTTGCGATGAGAATCGGATGGTAGGCAGACTCTGGCTATGACTGAGAGTGAGCTGTCAGTCTCCGGCCCGGCAGAAATCGGGGGAAAGCGGCCGCAAAAACAGCGAGGGGGTTTCAACAACTCGAGAAAAATGGGAAGCGAATCACTGGAGGCTTGCCTGCAGGACTCTTGAAGTAAAGCTCACGACATAAGCAGGAACGGACGGAGCGCCTTCCCATTGATACTCTCCCGTCGGCCGGCATATCCCCGAGTGCTTCTTGCAGGCGTCCTGCCCTCGCAGACAGATGTCGATAGCAACCCCCAGCTCGACTCGCAGCTGATCGTAACGCATGGTCCACAGCGATTCTCGCGAGGATTCCTAGATCCGGATGGTGATTGTAATCCCTGCTCGGGAAAAGCGGTAAATATCCCGCCGGCACTTTGGGACTCGCTTCTGTTCCCGCCCCGTGGAGTTCCTGATGAGCCTCCGTATTATCTCAATTAGAGAGCATATTTCTTATGTGGGCGAGAAAGTTTCGCACGGCATGAGTCCCTTCGGATGTTCGTGATTCGTGATGAGATCCACCACAGAGATTGGGATCAGAATGCGAATCGACTTCCCAGACTGCGACGCCGACGGATCTTCACCGAGAAGTTGCGCAAGATTTCATTCGCGGACTCCCTCCCAACCGCCGGATCGGAGTTTGATTAGCAGCGTTCAATCTGATTTACTCGGCGGCAGAGTCCCGTCGGTTCCGACAGTTGGGGGAAAGTGCTTATTCCGGAGGAATCCTTATTTGAGATGATGATCTCTTCCCTCTCGGTCCGGTCTTCGAACGATCGGAGAGTTAATGATTCGATGATTGTCCCCGCGATTCCTGAACTGAATGTTGAATCCCAGATGTCCGGCATGGGATGACGTCATCCGCTCTAGTCGTCATTCCAGTCGGAGTTGTGAATATCGACATGAAGCTCGTCCCGCTGTCACGAGGAATAGGACTCTAGGTAGTTCCTCCCACACATGCTCAGCCGATCGATCCCAAGGAGAGAGGCATTCCACGCTCTCCGTGGGCTTGTCCGACGGTTCTCCCAATCACAAGCTCCCCAGTACAACCCCGCAGGTCTGATTACCTTGCCTCAAGGTACTGAAAATGATACGCAATCGTGTACAGGAGCCGCACAAAGCTCAAGACGATTATGTCTAAATTCAGGAGCTCATGATGGCGGGCATCCAGTCAGGAACGCGATTTGCTGTGAGCGGGAGCACTCTCACCGGCATTCGGCTATGAGCACAGCTGTTTTCGAGCGCATTTTGACACGAGCGCAGCTGGTTTTGAGCGTATTTTGTCATAATCGCATCCCGTCATACGCGTACGTAGACGAGGGCCACTCGTGTACCCGCTGCGATAGGACCTCCATATCGCCATGTTCCCATCGCAAATATCGCGACAACGCACGATTTCTATCTGAGCCTTCTCTGGGCGGTAATAAGAAGTTTCGGGTGTGAGATTGGACCCTGCCCCAGCCTTATGCAATTCATTCGAACTCATTCGTTGCAGGCTCAGGATATTTCCATCGGCTTTGTGAGGATCATCATCAGGCCGAGCTTTGCATCTTGATCTTACGCCTAGTTACGACTCAATAGAGCAGCGGTGATGTCTGAATCTACACACTGGAGTTTCACCACCCGCAACCAAAGAATTCCTCCAGTAGAATCAGTTCTCGGCGACGGGCATAGCGGTCGAAATGTCGGAAATTCGATGAGTTCGATCCATAAAGTTTTGGGAACTTGATGCGCCTGAATCCTCTGCCCTCTGTCCGAGAAGCCGGGATAATTGAATTCGTATCTCCTAGGGAGTGAGTAGCGAGTTATTCCACTTTCGAAAGAAATTTATTCTACCCCAAGTACCCGAGCTATCAAGCAGATTATGAGGTGAAGGGAGCCACCTAGTTTCCATTCGGTGTTTTGGCCGAAACGCGATGCCAAACTACATCCTGTACTAGCGGAAATTCTAGACTGCCGCGGTGGAACTGTGAGGGAAACGCGACACCTAGATTCGGCAACCAACCCACGTACTCTCTCACGAGTGGTTGTGGCCCCGCTGTCGGCTCGCCTGCATTCGATTCCGAAACCCGTCTGTCGAACCTTAGTGGACTTCTTTTATCGCATCAATTGCGATTCGTGACGGAGCACAGTAATCAGAGACACCATATTGCAGTGGGCAAAATCGAGTGTTTTTCTGAATAATATCGAATATATGTTTCTTAGTACATATATATGAGGATCTGCGATGAAAAATTCCCAATATTCTCCTTCTCTGGCATCTCAATCAGTCTCTGGGAGAAGAGCCCCACCCGGTCTCGAGGGGAAGACGCAGTCTCGCCCGGGGACAGAGCGGCTTGACGTGCGTTCGTTCCCGGAGATCGTCGAGAAAATTCGTCAGAGAGCTCGCTTTAGAGACACCGAATTTGCATAGTTCCGCTCGATCGGCTCCAAGTAAGTAAAATTAGAAATTAATGAACTTCTCTTCGAAACTGGTATGATAGCTTTTCGGATATTCATATCCACGTCCTATCGGCGTATTTGGGGACCGTGCTGCGGTAGGCGAGCTGTCTCGGAGGCAGAGTTCTTGGAGTTTGCGGACCCGGCGAATATTTCCACCAGCGTGAATTCCTGGAACGAAACGCTACCAGCGAGCTCCTTCCAGGAAGAAAATCCACCGAGAAGTTCGAGTTTGGTCGCTGAACGTTTTCGGCCGCGGAGGCTCGAAATACGAGGTCGCTTCAATATCACATGATGAGTGAGAGGATGTGAGATATTCTAGTGAAACGCTCAGAAGTTCGGGGAGGGATTACCTGGACGAGGTCAAGTACGTTCGGATTCCGCTTGCATGAGCATATACGTAACTTCTGCCTTTGTTGGTGAAGCTTGCGAGTCCTCCACTCGGGCTCGAGACGTATAAGCTCCCTGGAGCGAGTTCTTCGAAGGAATGCAAGAATTTGAAAATGAACCGGGGGTGAACCGTCGGCGAAAGAATAAGTACTTTTCACCTTGCTGAGAATCCCACGAAGTCGGGCCGGGGGCGAGTTCGCGAATGATGTCTTGATACGACAATGCTGCATATCGGTTCCGGTGGTGTTCACGTATACCCGTCTGGATGAACCAGCACCTCCCTGGATATGGTCGCTCCTCTTCGATATCTGGATTCGTATACTTGCCTTCGGATGGAATCGTGGATAGTCGGTATCGGACATGTACCATGGACAAGAAGTAACATCGCGCGTGGAGTTTGTACTCTGCCTGCTCCCTCCACTTCAGCGAGTGAGTTCACGAAAGGAGGCTTGAGCAAGATGTCGAGAAGTTTTTAAGATTCCGTTCCTAAACGATCCGGCATATCGTCCGGATGGCTCGCGAGCGCCGCTCCGTTGATGATGAGGTATCGTCATTCATCCAACGCGGGGGTCATGATTGCCTTTGACCTTTTATTTCTCCTCTCGAGGAACAGAAAGTAATTATTCGTTTCCTGCGTTCACTCTGAGCATGAACAATCTCTTGTCATGGTTGAGTTAGCTCCGAAGAACCCCCACTAGGAAACGCTGTCTGGCTTCCTCTGAGAAAAGTAAGTACTCCTCTGCTTAGCTCCACTCCGGCATGCTAGTTCGCGATCGGGCGAAACGTTCACCCGAGCTTCCCACAGGACAAGAAATTCTCGGTTCTCGCTTGCACCCGGCTGTTACGAGCCCCGTCGATTCAACCATATTCAGCGGTCGATTTTCGCCGGCTGCTGTCGCGGTATCCGGAATTGCTACAGTGAAGTTTCGTCGTCGACGAATATCCCCGAAAGGGGAATAGCCATTCGCGACATTAGGAAGACGCTCATGAGAGCGCTCGGGTCTTGACCGCGGAGTCCCTGTCCCACGATCGCTGCCCCGCGTTCGAACAGAAATCCAATCTTGATTCACAGAGTGGACGAGACGGGGAATGATACTCGTGAGAGACTACGATGCCCCGATAGAGATGTGTGGAATGGTGAGATGAGTGGATGAGTGTAGTCCTACTTCATCAAAGAAAACATGCCTAAACGCTTTCGCCTGAAGTGGTGCACTCCGAGTCACGTTTCCCCTTGGCCCAGTCCGAGGCTTGAGGACATGAAATCAGAGTGACCTCGAGAGAGAGAAATGCCCCCGAGGCATCTTCCCTCGGTAGGCTAGATCCCTCGATAAAACTTCCGAATTCGCCAGAGATGAAGTCCGGCTCCTTCAAATATCTGAAATTCTGGTGCAGAGCCACGCCATGTTCAATCCTGTGCTTGTCCGGCGCACTTCCGCGCGGCTCAAGGGATATCGAAATCCCCGCTCCTAGCAAAGGGCTCGAGTTTTTCACGATCCGTCTCTCCTGAAAACAATGTAGAGAGGGTTCGATGGGAATAATGAAGAACATATTTATTTGGTATCAGTGGTCTTTCGGAGAGGCGTTTCGGTATTTCGGGGTTCTCGTTAGGTTGTTTGAGGCTTTCGCGTCGACGGCTCAGGCCTCGATTCCTAGGCCCGAGGTGGGCGCTACGCTGTCTCCGAAAACTTCTTCATGAACTCAATGACGTCTCTCTTCGAATTACCGCTGCTCGGGATGAAATGACCTCCCTCATGCTCGCTTATTTGTACATCAGAGAAAAGCTCATTGAAAGCGCTCGCCTGCTCGAGGGGTATCACTTTGTCTGTCTTGCCGATAACGTGTAGGGCAGGCAGGTCTATTTTCCCACCGAATGCATGTTTCGAATTCCGTGACTCGAACCCGGAGAAGAGGATGGCAAACCTGAAGCGAATCTGGTCGAAATCACCCCAAATTTTATTGCCGAGCTGCAACACCAGCGCCACGAAACTCGCGCCCTGAGAAAATCCTAGAATTCCATCGAACGGTCCCTCTTTCTCCACGGTGTTTGACACTAGCTCGAGTGCACTCTCGAGCCCGATACTGACGTCAGACTGTTCTTGAGCATCGAAACTGCGATCACTCCTCGAGAACCACCATCCCCGTTCTCTTTCATTGTCATTCACGAGCAGAGGGGCCGTCACGAACACATATTCTGCTAATGATTTCGTAGATTTTCGGAGAGAGCCTAATTTCGAACGAAAGCTCTCGGCGTCCTGACGGTAGCCGTGCAGACAGAGAATTTTCAGTTTCCTCACTTCAGCCATCGATCTGAGACGTGGGCCAGCTCCGACCGGGTCGAGTCGCCACTCTGGTTCCGTGGCTGAAGCAATCGCACGAAAGATTTTCTTTTCGTGGAGCCGAGATCCTCACCGAGAAGTCTCGGTCCACACCGGCTCCGAGCTTTAAAGCGGTGCCGGATGACCGAGCCTTAAGCGACGGAACTCTCCTCCGATAGTCCAACGGGTGCTCGCGCGCGAGGGGAGCTTGGAGCTCAACCGGAGTGGATCAAAGGCCCTGATGAGAACGAGACCAATCCCTCCCCGACCCACCGAATGATCTGAACACTCTCCCAGAATTTCGGGAGAATAGAATTTGACGCGGGAATCCCCGACACAATTTTTCCGATTTCCTTCCGCTTGATGACTTAGTTGACCGAACGGACTTCGCGCGCAGAGTGGAACAAGAGCAGTGGAGGGTCTCGCTCTACCTCCTCCGAGGGGGGGACGGAAAGCTCTAGATCGGGAGCGCTCAGCTGAGAGATGAGGAGTATTCTATCCTACCATCCGGGGCTCCGATGCGGGAAACATTAGGAGCAATCATGAGGGTGGAAAAACCCCTGGAAAAGCCTAGGATTCCTGGTAATTTCGGTCACATTCAACGTCGGAGCTCGCGAGGCGCGTACGGCTTCGAGAGATATGCGGGCCCATTAGCTTGAAAAGATCCTCATTTCTTCACTCGACTTGAAAGCGTTCCAGATGTTTTTTTCGAGCTTCACGTCTGACTCCCGGCTCGTTGTTCAGGACTCCGGCCCTAGTTTTGCTCGAGCTCCGAATGTGAGTGATACAGCCCAGGCCACTCGACGCCCGCCTCTTCTGGAGCATTGTGACAAGGACTTACTCGCAGCTGCTTTCCGAAATTTTGGAATTCCAGCTGTAGGAAAAAAATTCCCGCAACGGAACGATCCTCCGACAAAGCATTTGCCTCCGGAGTGTCAAGTCGGCTGGAAGTTTTGACGTCAATGAAAAACAGAATTCTTTCCCATTGAGGGACGACAACTGTTGAAACGACCAGATTTGCGAATGAAAAGGAATCTGAGAACCCATGCGAATTCCGCTCCGTTTGGGAATCCATGGGGAGGCAGGACGAGTCGGCGGAGACAGAATTCCAATTAGACAAACGATCCGGGAAAACGCGAAATCCTTTGCTCCGAGTCGATTTCTCATGAACGAGAATTTTTCCTTCGTCTCGAGCGGAGCAGCACTCGAAGCTACGATTTCTTTCCGATAGTAGGGGAAAACATTGTGACTTCCTCCACGGCGCCAGGGAACGGCATTCTCCCGTGGGCGCTCTGAGCTTGAGCCTGTTTAGCGGACTTGTTGGGTCGGAATCATGGTCCGCATCGGGAAAAGGCTCCAGTCGAATATCTAATTAGCGAAATCAGATCGGAAATACATCACAGGGAACCTATCAGCGCTTTGAGTTAGGTACCTTTTTTTCCTTGTATACAAGTGCCGTCCGCGAAATCGAAGGGGCGAGCTGGTAATCGCGTATCTCCGTGTTCCTGATTGCGTGATAATCATCCATACTGGAATATTCACGCGCCTATATTCTGCGAGAATATTCACGCGCCTATATTCTCCGAGAATATTCACGCGCCTATATTCTCCGAGAATATTCACGCGCTTGTCGTGGCAGACTTCCGGATAGGAGACGCTCGATTCAAACTGCTCGGAAATCCGTTCTCGTGGAAAATCATGGAGACGTGTGATATCCAGACACGGGTATCTCGATCATTGTCCAGACCGCAAGGTCGCATGTCTTCCTCCTTTCGGATCTTTCTCGTTGCCTGCAGCGCATCGGATGCACTAAGCATTATCTCGAGCCGTCGGCGCCGGTGTGGGGGGAAGTTTGCGCAGAGGCGCCTTGTTAAGCGTAACCGCTGCTAATTGCGGTTACGCTTAACAATGAAAGCACAATGAGCCGCAGCCGAGGGTGGGCTCTCCAAATGCGAGTTACCGCAGGGAGAACCGATCTGATAAACGCACTCATTCGCTAACGATCCCTTCGCCTATTCCCTTTATTTTCGACAGCTACCGAATCAATGCGTTTCCGTTCGAACCCCAGGGGAGGCGTCTCGACGAGAGTTATGGATCCGGGGGCAGATCCACTCGATCGTGGCATGCCAACGTTTTCCACAAACATGTGTTTCCAGAACGACTGCAAACGGCGATCGGGGAGCCCGATGTCGAGGGGTCTAATCTTCCGTGGGAGTTTGATGGCTGGCAGACCCTCTCGGACCATTTGGAAGCATTGATACTCTTTGTTCGAAAGCCGAGTTCGTCGGGTGTCCATTCTACAATCTTCCGGGAAAAGATCCACTCCAGGGGGAGCAACTGGGCTGTCTTCTAGTGTCACCCCATTCCTGAACGAAAATTTGATGCAAATTCATTTCTTTTTCGATGTTCTTTGCGGTCATCTAGAATCTAGAAGCCTGAGGACGGCTTCGGATATATTATTAAGAAAAGTCGATCTCCAGGGGCATCGGGTTCCGGAGCGAATTCTCCACCGTTGTGCTCGTGTCCTTGTTGCACCTCTTATAGTGTGTATCCCGCAGACGAGCAAGGAGATCGTAAGGGCTCCGAAGGATTTTCGTCCCAGTCAGGTTGAGCGATAAATTAGTTCCGTCCTTGTGTTAGACTAGACAAAAACAGGAGTTACTCAGATCCGACGAAATTCTTCCCTGAGGCTCCGTTGGTCGGCAAGCGTCGCTGATCACTTGTCGTCCCGTCGCTTCGCTCGGTTTTTGGCAGTCGGCACGAAATAGAAGCACGAAGCTTCCCTCGTCGATCACGGCAAGCCAATACCACGGAATTGCAGAAAGTAGGCATGTGCACCCCTGTCGCTCTCTCGTGCCTACGACCGATACCTTTCAGCCAAAGGGGATCGGTGACTTTCCCCGGGTGCTATCGATGCTTCGTGCTTAGGTTTCCGTTTTATATTCCGAAGGAATCGTGAATGTTTCAAAACGAATCTTTTACGATCCTCCAATCCACCGTAGACAAGCCTGAGCGGGTCGTCCCTTCTGGCGCCGCCTCATCCTTGCGTTGGAGTTTGTATTCGAGAGTATCGAGTTCCGTTTCAGCGTCATGATGTTTACTCTCGGCACACGGTTCCTCCTCCGAATCGGATACCGGATCCATGTGGCCCGGTAGCTCAACGACTCGGTTTGATGTCCTACGATCGTCTTGATTTTCTCTGTCTCCGTACCTCGGAGCACAGCCGTCAATTCTGTTAGTCGCCTCCTTACGGCTGGAACGTGACACCAAGCAAAGAATGTTCGAACTTCATACCCCGAAAAGATCACTTATCTCACTTTCTCATTTACGGGAGCTTGATCTGGGAGATCGGTGAATTCTATCCAGACATATGTCCATTCGGAAGGCCGGAAATCGAGGCTTCCGTGTTGTCTCATCCGATTGAACAACTCTCGCAGATTCCGCCATTATATTCGAGTCTGCTGGAGGGAGACTTCCTCGAGGCTCCACCGGTGATCTTATTTTTCCCCCTTTGGCGTGTGCGGGTTCGTCCCCGAGCGACGATTACATTAGAGAAGTCTTAGGTGCCCAATGTGATTACAATAATTACGGATCGGGGTGCCCTCGGGAGTTCTCCTATTGCAGTGGAAGTGGCATCCGGCGTCGTTGCGTTTTTGATCGGAGTATTAGTCGTCTGGGACGTGGGCGAGGGGGGGGGGGTTGGTGTCGTCGGCGCGGTGCTGGGGGCGATGACGTGTCACGTTTTCACATTGGGACACACTGCAGCAACTGGTTCCCCCTTGAGGAGAAGCGGGTGATCGAGTTGGATCTGAGCGTTTTTCCTCATGGTGACCTGAGTCCGCTTTGCTGCTAGGACGTGACGGTGGAACGTCGTGACGTCGTCTCTCGCTTGATCTGTGCGTTGACGTCAGGCTGGGAGAGCGGAATCCGAGAGCTAGGGACTTCCTGGTGGTCGGCTCGTGATTCGCTTCTCGACCGCCTGAGACGACCTGAAGTGAGCCGCGTCTGTCGACGAACTCGAAGATGTGTTGGAGTTCTGGAACCGAACACGGGGCCGGCAGGCAACGCTCACAAGAACATCGCGCGGTGTGGCTTCGAACGCATTCGATCGTCATTCGATCCTGCGGCATGTCCGCATCGACCCCGAGGTACCGATCTTTGACTGTCGTCGTCAACTTTTCCGGAGCGTTTTCCTCGGACGCCCGCGTCGCGTGCGGAATTCTGCTGGAAAACATGTTTCCCGCACACCGTCGGTATATATGAGGATGCCCACGGCACCGAATCAGCAGGGAGCGGATCCTTTTCCGTGACGTGAGCAGACGTAATGAGCGGCACGTATACGGAAACGACCTTTACCGCGTCTCGACGAGAACGTGAGAATTACACTGGAAGAGTCGCATCAGATAATCAACACAAAACACATGATGTCGTTTTCCGATTTGCTTCACGCCGCCTTGCGATCAATAACCCCGAAATGGGAATTTTCCGCCAACATGTGGTGCTGCTTTTTGTTCTGTGGACCTGAGTGTCCTGAGTGCCCTCTCCAGAGATCGTTTCGGATCGGAAGCGCACCGTTTCAAGTCAGGGCGAGGAAAGATCGCCGTAGAGCAAGTCTAAACGTGCAATAAAAAGGCTCCGATCGGAGTTCGAATGCGGCAGGGTATTCTCTGCAGGCGTGTCTAAATCGCTCTCGGGATCACAATGGGCGGCGGCTCTTCCGCGTGAGTCGAACATTTGTTTGTGATTCCGATGGACTCTCTCGAGATCTACGGTGGCAGTCAGGATCAGAGCACCGACCGGGAATTTTATTCTGCTCCGTAGTAGAAGGTCCGCAACGAGTGCGCCGAATCGGACAATTGTTTCTGGAACCAAGAATCTCTGGAAGAATTACCTCCAGGATTCAAGGACGTGGAGCGGGCGCCGTCGCTTCGAGTTTCGACTTTTCCGATCGATTTCTTTGATCCAAAGGAAGTTCAGACTGGGAGGTG